CTTTAGCATAGTCAATGAAGCACAAGTAAACATCTTTCAACCAAGATCTGTCTGACATCACTTTATTTGATTTCCTATTCTGCAGGCTTTGATTTCTGGCAGGTTCCAGGTGATGTAGAGCTGCAACCACTTAAAAATGATCTTTAACAAAGTTCTACTTGTGTGTGATTTTAATGATATTGTTCAATGCTTTCTGTATTCTGTTGGGTCACTTTTCTGTGGAATGGGCACAAATATTAATCTCTTCCAATCTGTTGAATATCAAAGTATGAAGCTATTGTTATTTGACATATTTTCCATCTAGGGCTACAAATTTCTGAAGGCAGTATTCCCACCTGGTCACACTGTAGGATAACAATGGATTGTTAACCACAAGGTTGGCTGTTCAAACCCGCCAACATCTCTGTGGGAGAAAGATGAGACGTTCTGCTCCTGTGAAGATTCATTGTTAAGTGCCATCTGACTCATAGCAACCATATGTATAGGGTTTTTGAGAGTGATTGGTGGGTTTGAACTGCTGATCTTGCTGACCTGCAGTTAGCAGTCCAGTGTTTATCCTTCAGCACCATACCAGGACAGCCTTGAAACCCTATATAGGGTTGCTATGGGTCAAATCAATTTAATGGAATGGACTTGGTTTTCTTGGCTTTAATTTTTCCCCAAAGAATTCTGCATTCTTCAGTCTACACTGTCAAATGGCAGCTTAGGCATCTTTGAGGGACTCAAATTGAATTCATTTTTAAAGTTCTTTGAGTTTTGGGAACAAAAAAGAACTCTGAAGGGGCAAGATCAGGGCTGTAGGGTGGTGGATGGGATAAGATTTTCCAAAAAACAATCTCTGAGAACAGTCCTTGCTATCCTTGAAAAATAAGCAGGTGTATTGTCGTGAAGGAAAAAAAAAAACCCCTGGTGCAACTTCCTGGCCTTTTTGTAACCAATGCAGTTTTCAATATTCTTAAAACTTCTTTATAAGTCCCCTGGATTGTCCTGTGTTCTTCAGAAAAGTTATCAAGATTACCCCTTCAGAATTCCAGAAACCTGGCTTATGAAATTCCATAACCTTCTGAGTTTACCTCGCTGTCTTGATTTTAACTGGCCCAGCAGATCCCCCCTGGAAGCCATTATTTTGATTAGACCTTTCTTTTGAAGGCACTCTAAATAAGATGAGAGAACTTGCCTGTTGTGTTTGGAATAAATCTGTGCATGTATGAGCTTGAACCTTAACTAGTAGCAACAGTTTTTTTTTAAAAAATTTTTTTACATAGCAGTACAACAGCAACTCTTTGACTAAACCATGTACTTTACTTTGTCTTCTCGAGCCACTCTTTGAAATCTTTTGTTCAGTTCTTTTCTTTCATCTTATCTTCTGGATGTTTGCAGCTGGTTTTTTGTTTTTTTGTTTTTTTTTTTTTAATATATATTCAGCC